GAACACCACTTGTGACTAGCTGCCAACTGAACTTAGTGCCTGGGCATCCAGGGAACTGTTAGACCAGGACGTGAACTAGGTAGCTTTTGCTCTGACTCAGTGTGATTGTTCTTAGGGCAAACAGGCAGATAGTGTGATCACATGAATTAAGTTTTTGGAAGCTGTAAGGCTGCTTGTATAATGGAAGGGCTAATAGACTTTTTTTTTTTTTTTTAAAGCATAAGCAACTCCTATAGGAACAGGACTGAAATAGATTTTCCTGGCCCTTAGGACGTTTCCTTAATGTTATGCAATTCTTATCATAAACTTACCAGATTTCCATTTAAAATTATTTAAGATTAAATAGCTTCTATTTTTTTACCAAAAGGATATTTGCAGGGTATCTAACTCAATACAAGTGACTTATATAAAACTTGCCTTCCAGCTGGAGAATGCCAAACTGTCGTCTGACCAAAATGACAAAGCTGCTGGTGCAGCTCGAGAAGAGTTGAAGGAGGCTCGCATGAGAATAGAAGCTCTCAGCTACCAGCTTTCTGCCCTTCAGAAGCAGGTAAAGGGACTAAATTTGCTTTCATCTCTAATACAGAGCACTGTATTGTTTGGATATATTAACATTTCTGTCCCTTCATATTTTCTGAATTTTACGGAGAGGAATTTTTGTTATGTTCATTTTGCAGGGACATGAATTTTTAATGTTTTTAGTGTACCCACATAGTTGTGAACTGGTTTTCCATTGTGCTGTCTACCTAGGCTAGTGCAGCAGAAGATCGCATTCGTGAATTGGAGGAAATGATGGCTGGTGAGCGGGAAAAGTTTAGGAAGATGCTAGATGCAAAGGAGAGGGAAATGACAGAAATGAGGGACCAGATGCAGCAGCAGCTTACAGAGTACCAGGAGCTGCTTGATGTTAAATTGGCACTGGACATGGAGATCAGTGCCTACCGAAAACTCCTGGAAGGAGAGGAGGAAAGGTACGTACAGATTCCACATTCTGTTCTTAGGACTGGCAGGTGTTACTTTCATTTCTTATGTTTATTTTTTTTTTACCATTTGAGCAGGAATACCCAGATTTTGTTTCACTGAAGTCCATATTAGTTTCACACCACAGTGTGTTGCATGGAACACTTATGTGGAACACTTGCAAGCGTTCTCATCTGAACACCGTCTTTTTTTTTGTTTGTTTTTATAATGGTCTCTTTATAAAAATGCTTGACATTCATCTCCTCTTTTTATTTAAGTGCTTATACTTTTGTGTTTTCTTGTTTTAAATGACGTGGCCCAAGAATAGTGTGTTTAGTAGTAGATACACTGGAAGAGATCTATGGTGCTCTATGAGATTAGCACTGCTTTCCATGTCACATAATCATACTACCAGAAAACTTCTCAGGGCTGGATAGCAACCCCCTTCTCTTATATACAGTCCTGACACACACACAGAGTGAGGCTGCTTTCAGCTTTGGGGCATATTACAATCTGGTTACTGAGCATATTGTAGCATTATTGCTTTGTGTGTAGTTCCCTGGATGAGTTAATTAAAATCTTGCTTTGTTGTGTTAAGGTTGAAGCTCTCTCCAAGTCCCTCGTCCCGTGTTACAGTCTCTCGGGCTACCTCCAGCAGCAGCAGTAGCAGTACTTCACTTGTTCGCTCTTCTCGAGGCAAGAGAAAACGCATTGAAGCAGAAGAACTTTCAGGCAGTGGAACAAGTGGCATTGGCACTGGAAGTATTAGCGGCAGCAGTAGTAGCAGTAGCTTCCAGATGTCCCAGCAAGCTTCAGCTACAGGAAGTATCAGCATAGAAGAGATAGACCTGGAGGGCAAATATGTTCAACTGAAGAACAATTCGGAGAAGGTTAGTGTCAGCAGAACTAGAAAACAAGGAGAAGCAGCTGAATTGAAATGTTACGCAGCCTTTTGTAGCACAAGTAGGTGGAGTCACTTGGAGAGCATGAGCAACATCTCAAGGTGCAGCTTCCTGCAATAATTAACAAGGGCATTTGAAAGTTGAACATTGCACTGTGCTAGCATGAGTGTAATATTTGCTGCAGGAAGAGAACATAGTTTGTGACACAAATATCTAAACATGTGTGCTGGTACCTTGCTCATGTAAATAGCCTTGCTGGCTCTAGCAGAACTTGTTTGTGTGAAACGTGTATCTTTTTTAATTTCGCTGATTGACCTTATGGATTTACACTTTAGGCTATTAGTGGGTATAGAAAAACACTTTCAAGTCACAATGCAGATGTCTAACAATCATGTATATAAATTTATATTCAGATTAATTTAATAACAAAGAGACCTAGAGAAAGCTCTGATGCCTATTTGCTATTGTTTTGCTCACCCTAAATAACCTTATGACTCTCTCCATTAGGATCAGTCTTTGGGTAACTGGAGACTGAAAAGACAAATTGGAGATGGAGAAGAAATTGCTTACAAATTTACTCCTAAGTATGTCCTCAGAGCTGGGCAGACTGTAACAGTAAGTTATACTTATAGTATGTCAACAATGTGTTCTCTTGCTCATGCTGTGGCAGTTGTAAATCTGACGTTTGGTAGAGCCTGATTTGGTGTATAACTTTTGTTTTCATTGATCTCACTTTAGAGGAGCAGGATTTCAGTTAGAAAAATGCAGAACAGAAATTGAATTTCTATATTAGCACTTCAGTATTTTAAGACCATTTCAGGCACAGAGAAAGTTGAAGAAAAAGGTATTTTGGGGGGTGGGTCAAAGGGCTGTTTGTTTTCAAACACTTTTGACCAGGTTTGGAACACTAATCCTGCTCAGCTTCTTAATGAAATAGGAAGATTTCACAGCATTCATTCAGTCTAATAGACTTTAGTTAAGACTAGACATTCTCAGCTTTAACTGTAGTAGAACAGCTGCTTTTCTATAATTTTGTATTTTATTTTCAGTCTGCACCAGATATTCTTTTAGAAGGAAAAAATAGCTTTATTTTAATCAGTTCCAGGTGTTTCTACTTAAGTATCAATTGCTCAGCTACATGTAAAAGATTAAATTGATGCACTACAAGCTGCCTTTTATGTCTTGGTTCCATACACTATAGTCATCAAGACAGTTGTAGGAGAAGTTTGTATATTCAGAAAAGAATTGATGACTGCAATATTAGATAATTTTTTCCTCTTCTGTTGTTTTTTTGTTATGGCTAGTGCTACTTTTTGTTGTAGACTGAGAATAATATCTTACTGCAAGTAATGATGCAGGTAAAAGCAGGGTAAAACTGCCATTGGAATTCAGAAACAAAACTGGTATGTAGAGAGAAGTAGGAGAATTAGGGGATTATGTATATTTAAAAATAAAATTTGTATAAATAGTTAATCATAGAATGTGTTTCTCACTAGATTTGGGGTGCAGATGCAGGTGTATCTCATAGCCCCCCTTCTGTTCTCGTGTGGAAGAATCAAGGCAGCTGGGGCACTGGAGGAAATATCCGTACATACCTCGTAAACTCTGAAGGAGAGGTAGGCTGTGTCTGTAGAAAAAAGCTGTGGGCTGGGTTATCTCCCAAACGCTTTAATTTGGGGGGCAGGGGGACGACAACAATGACAAAATCCTGATTTTAAGATCTCCCCTATTGTCTTCTAAAACAAGGCAGTTTATAACACTGAAATAATTAAATATCTGTGTGTATCTGTCTCTTGAGATTTTTGGGAAACTTTGGAAAACTGTGATCATCATCCTGATTACATTCATAGACTTTTTTTTTTTGTATTTTAGAAAAATGCCCTGGTAGTAGAGAATTTGTTTGGAATTTGAGTATATATTTTCAGAAGAGACAAAGAACATAAGTATTGCTGGCAATTCAAAATTATGTTATATATCTACATATGTATCTACAGTATTCTGGGGTGAAATGCAAATATTAATGTAGGAAGGTACCTGTCCTTTTAATGTTGGAAGTATATCAGAAGTTTTCGTTTTGGCACAGGTTACTGTGTATTCTGCATTGTCCTATGTCTGCCCACAACTGATTTTATTTTTTTTTTTTAAAAAAAAAAACCCATCCCTGCAGAGGACTACTGCAAGGGAGGATCATGCTTTGGCTTTTATTCATAAATGTGCCATTATTGCAGTGATCTGAAAGAAACAGGAAAGTGAAACAGACCACAGTTGTATCACTTACCATGCTGGCTTTCTTGCTGGCAATTCTGTGGTAGCACTTTGTGCAGGAATAGCAGCATGGGACAAGGTAGGACGGAGGGTCATCTGTACAAATAGAAAGTTAACTGGCTTAGTATTCAAATAGGAGTGGTTACACTAGTATCTGAAAAAATTTCAAATCTATGTCCATTCCCACTGTGGTTACCTTTAGTATCCCTGCTTAAAAGTGTATGTTTCAGGCACCTTTTTCCACAAGAAGAAATTTGCACCTATGATATCAAGGGTGCCAGTGTAAAGAAGAATTTCTTACTACTAAGAAGTCTTAAAAATAATTTAGTAATCAAGGAAGCTTCCTGGGGTTTTAGAATTCTTTTTAGTGCCTGGTTTGGAAGACTGTCCTGATAATTAATATTCTATATCAATTGCATATATCTAGTAGAAATGAGGAATATTCTTCATGCTGTGTGATCATACTGAAGAACTTTAGTTTCTCACCTTACGATATGTGTCAGACAGCTCCTAGCTGGGTCTGCTGTGAGCTTGTATAAAATTGACTAACAACCACCTGAAACATGGCTGCTTCCTCTCAAATCCCTAGGTAATGAAAGAAAATTCCTGAAGCTAAATTACATTACTGTGCCGTTTAGTGGACAGAAATAGGAATGTTTGCAGTATATTACCAGTATTTGCGTGCATAGCTGATGTTAAATCTAGGGCAAGTTGTTTTAAACCCTCCAAAACTTAATAGGAGTATTCTATTGATGGTATAGCAAAAACTTGAGAGAGACTACTGGCCATCTCCTTATCTGTCATTTTGTGTAGGAAGTTGCAGTGAGAAGTGTTACTAAATCAGTAGTCCTGCAAGAGAATGAAGAGGAAGAGGATGAAGCAGAGTTTGGAGAGGAAGACCTTTTCAACCAACAGGTAATAAGATGCAGACCAGATGTTTTAACTTGTGCCTCCTTGGGTGGATTAATCAGGCTTAAGATTTAGGGGGTCCCTTCAACTTTTGCCAGCTGTGAGCTTCCTGGTCCATTTTCCAATAGGTGCTTGCAGAGGACGATCTCGGGATGGCTTGCACTCCTGCAGCATTGTCAGTGCTGTAAGCAAAATATAACCATTGGGAAATATAACCACTAAAAACCAGGAAAGAGGGAGTGCTTCTGTTGCTGCAAGCTTCAGCTTATTGGTTTATTTTCTGATAGTATATACCTGTTATATCTGAAATGAACTTGTTTTTTCTTAATAATACCACCTGTATGTTTTCATAACCCTTAGTTAGGTACTGTGAAATAACTGACCAGCAGTCAGCAGAGTGAAAAGGAAAAAGATACTTCATACAGGTGATAGCAGAAAATATTATAAATTTGTTTCAAACTCAAGCAATTTGTTCTCCTGACCACTGGCCATTAGTAGCTCTTTTCACAAAGAACTCATTCTGTGCAAGTTTGAAGTTGAGTTCTAAAAGCTGCTTTTTTTTTTTTTTGGTCTCCAGGAGATGGAGCGGTATATTTGTAGTATAAACCAACTGAAACGGAATTAATTTTTTTACCCAAACAAGCAGCTATGCAGCATAGATATCTCTGAAATGGAAACATGATTTGAAATAAAGGAAGGAATTTCCTGTTCTAAAGCTAATGACATCCCAATTTCCATTTGTCATCTGTATCAGTGTTGAAAGCATGGAGATTAACCAATCAACCCATCATAGAGAACCACAACCAGAGTAGCAGTGTCTTAATCCTGGCAATAGACTGTGACATGTGCTATGTTTGCTGTATAGCTGTGATATTCCCTGAATATAACTAAACTACAAGAAAAAAATGGTTTTAACAATTGAGATGATCACCAGAGTCTAGGCTTACAATATGAAAAGCCAGTAAGAATTGAGTTCAACTATGTCTGTCTTATTTTAGGGGGATCCCAGAACAACCTCTAGAGGATGCTCAGTGATGTGAAGAAAGAAAAAAGAAACTATTATTTGCTTTTTTTTTTCATTTATTTCCTTTTATTTTTGCTATGTTTTTCCCTCCAGAGCCACTGAAAACTATTTTTATATACATCATCTGATTTCTTTGAAGTTTACTCCTTGGTACATTTTTATAAAAAAAAAAAAAAAACCTTTACTGAACAAAACTGCCAGAATTTTTAATAGATTTCTTTATTTTTCCCTCTTTGTTGAAACACTATATTGGAATACAGTATTTTTCCCCGTATAGAGTTTAAAGTCTTATGTACAAACCTGCAGCAGAAAAGAAGCTTTTAGCTAAAATGAGATGAGACTCCTTGAGTGCATGGTAAATCTATGATGGCATGTATAACCAGGGTAACACACACACAAAAGAGTCGTTTAAGAAAGCATGTTCATCTGCAGGGCCCCAGGAGAGATTCACAGTAGTGTTTCTTCCATACATTAAGAAACAGTAGCATCTTGCCTGGTATCCCCTCAGCAGTGCTCAGCTTAAGAAAATCAGACCCCAAGTTTATTAAAAATGCTGCTCCATCAATGGAGGTAACAAAGGGAAGCTGCATTTTAGACATTCTTGGGCTCAGGACCATGGCATTTTGTCCTCTTCCACGGTTTGACAGCCTAGTGGTAAAAACATCCAAGTCTGTCAACACCCTAGCTCCATATCATTATTTCAGAAGATGGAGAATGGTAGGTTCTGCTTACTGAATATATACACCATCTTAAGGTATGGAAGTGTCAAAACCAGTTTTAACTGGTGTATTTTCAGAGAATTTTGACATTGTCACAAATGAGACCTTGTTAAATCATGGGTGCAAGTTGTGATGTTCAGTATTTGTGATGTTAAGCATCGTGATTTAATGCTTTTGACATATTCAGCATTAAACAGAATGATTAAGATTTTAGTTAAAAATATTTTTATTTTTGGCAATGATAAATATTGGGGATTTTAAAGGTTATCCTGTGTAAATGTTGACTTTTTTTACTCAGAGCTAGATGCAGCTTGGTCATGCTTCTTTTATATTCAAAGGGGCATTGCCAGATATCTTAAGGAGCAGTATTTGCAAAATAGTACAGAAATAGTTTAATGACTTTTTTAAAAAAGTGAAAAGGAAGTGCTGTTTAGGTCATAAGCATTGCTTTGCAGTGTTCAAATGCTCGAAGCAAGTCTAACAGTGAGAATAATGGGGTTTTTGTTAAAAAAAAATGCTTTATATGAGTAGCAGGTGATTTTTTTTTTTAATTTATTTCAGTATGATGCGTTTTGTATCTGACAGTGTCCCTTTAGCTTAAGGTTTCTTCTGCATTTCTGTAGAGATAACTCTGACTCCCATAAGGGTTAGTGTTCATACAGTACTGCATCTTTAAGCACTAGGAAAAATATTTGACTGCTCCAAAGAATGTACTGGCTACTGTACAAGCAAATGTTTTTTCCACTAGTTTGGATACAAAATTTGGATACCATCTGATGCCAGCATAGAATCCTACTTTTACCTGCACTCTTGAACTCTGATCTTGTCATTCAAATAGTATAGACTCATCAAACAAGCTACAAGGTTTGGATGTTTTCGGTGGCTTTTGGATATTATGTTCTCTGAACAGTATTGTGACTGACAGATGTAACCTAGAAAGTCAGTTTAGTGGCTTTGACTGATGGCTTTGTAATGCAAGCAGAGTGGGAACTAAAGTGTTGGGGTTTTTTTTTTTTAAGCTTATGGATTTATTTTGCCATTAAAAATAATTTGAAGATGCTACTTTTCTCTATTTGAGTGGGATGACTGAATTACTGTAGTTAAACTAATAGAAATTTAGAATTATGTTTTAATACGTTATCAGAAGATCCATTACAAAAGAGCAGTATGAAGATTTGGCTGTTTGGGCTAATGGGATAACTGTATTGATGTACTTGGCCGTTCTTCTAATGTAACTTTCCCACTCTGCTTGAGTAGAAGGTTAAATACGTAGTAAATCATGTCTATCTCTCTGTAAAATGTATTTAGTGAAATTATGTTTCTCAGACATACTGTTACCAATTACCTTTTCTAAATTTGTTATCCAAATTAATGCAATCAATGTAAAAAATATTTTTGCAATGCACCTTCCAACCACTGGACAGCATTTCCCTTTCTGACCCACAGCTTCTATATATACTTACAGCTTCTATATACGTAATGTTTGAGGGCTTTTTGCTTTTTTTCTAAAGATCTGTATTTATTTTTTTTTACACTGGCCAGTTTTCAGATTGCTTATTCTTCTTTAAGATTGTCCTGTAAATTTAAGATTGTTCTGTGATCTTAAATACTAAAAGCAATGAGTGTGTAGTTCATTTGCATTTTTCCTGTGATGATTTTTTTTTTTCTGTAAAGAATGGGCTAGGAAAGGCAGCTTGAATGAGGAAAAACCTCTTGCTACCTGAGCCATAGTTTTCTTAACAGCTGCTGTATGGGGAATGTGTCGTCTTGTAGCCTTAAGGACTGGTGCTTGCAGATCTTTTGTGATGAGCACTGTGCCCTTCAGTAACAGTCTGCAGAATTTGTCCTTGGATTTGGAATTGTGTCCTTTAACTTTGGATCAGTTTATTTTATTCTTCAGTACCATGTTTAAGTATATACAGGTGTTCATATAAAGCAGTGATTGATACTGTGGGAAAAACTGAATGCCAACAGTGTAAATGTGGGTGATTCTGTCACCACAGTGCTTTCTAAAAAGCTACTGAAAATATGATAAATAATTCCTAGCAGTAGATTACAAGACACAGAAAAAAACTACTGTATTCCGCATACTTTCTTTTTTGTGTGTGCGTCTTCTCTAGATGCCATCCTTTCCTCTTGCTTTTGATGCTGAGCTTCAGTATAATGGCACTATCCCTTTAAAATTGGTGCTCCATACTGGGAGGGTTTTTTTGGCTTTACCAAACCAAAAAGCATAATTTCTTTTTTTTTTTTCTGTCTTTCAAAGATTATTTTTTTTCCCCCTCAGGATAATTAAAGCTTTTTGTTCAAATAAAATACAGTGTCCCCTTGCCCTCTTTTCATATTTGATCCTGTATGTGAACCACTCTTTGAAGCTGGAGGATAAATCAGCATTTCTACTCCAGCGTCTGATATATGGTGTAGAGTTTGAAGGAGAAATAGATTTGACTTGTTAGGAAAAAAATGATTTTAAGGCTTCTCTGATTAGGGAAATTAACCAGTATAGCTTTTCTCAGATGTTCTTATTCTAGAAAAATAAGCAAACTACTTTATTCTCAATGAAATAGTAAAAATTATTCCTAAATGATTCTCACTGGTTAAGAGGAGGAAGGAATAACAGCATAACTGCAGCAGAATAGTTAAGCCAGTCTTTTCATTGTGTAGATCATAACAGTGTATCATATAAAAAATGACAAACGGATACTACCTACTCCTAGGTTCATACCATGTGAAAATGCTAGTGTCAGAACAAGTCTGTTGATCTGCAGAACCACTGGCAGCGTGGCATCCTGCAGAGTGAGATACGGTTACAGAGAGCCTCTGAGATTTCATGACACTTCGATTTCATGACACTTCTATGTTTATTACTTTAGCTGTTGTGTTGCAGTGACTTATGCCAAGTAATAGAGTGGCTATGATTCCCTTGTTGCTGCGCAGCTTTATTTCTCAGTGTGTCTAGTTAGGCTAGTTCAGGATTCTAGATTTGCCCTGACAAAAACAATAGTTTACACTGATTACATTGATTGCTTGTGTTCAGCACCGTTTTGCCATTAGATGGGAGTTAGCTGGCATAGTTTGTGTTTGTAGCAGGAACAAAAAGTCTCAGGAAGAAAACAAACATCTGCTTCCCATGACCTGTAATCTAAAAGCCAGACAAGCTTGTCTGCAGCTTGCATTAGTCATTAAAATTGTATTGCAGCGTGAAGCAGACTGTACTGTGAAAGGAGATCACTTAATGTGCATGTTTATCCTTGAGCAACGGGACACCTCATGTTCAGTTCAGGGATCTTACTGGGTTTTTTATACACCCTTTTTCCTTCTTTTTAATGCTCATCCTGTATAAAGGCCCTTTTAACTGCAACCTGAACCAGAGGTTAGTTAGAGGCTTGTAGAAATCCTCTTTACATCTGCGAATGTTTCTTTTGTATTCATCAGAAAGATTTTGATGCTGTATGAAAACATGCATACTGTATATTTTATCTCTCTTGTAGCCACTTCTCTCACTTCCTCACTGTGAAGCTATTCTGTCTCTTTTCTATCTTCTTTTGAAAGTCTTATCCTCTACACACAGGCATATCCATATTTGATACTGGATTTTATTGCCACTGTTGGGTCCAAACCCTGTGTGAGCAGGAAGCAAAGCCTTCTTGTAAACCAGTGAGTGGAAGGTGAGATAGTGATTGCATTTTTCAAAGCATTGTTTTAGCTGAATGTCAAGACAAATTACATTGGAGAGTTTCTTTTCTCACTTAAAATGGCCTGGGAAACAGAATTTTTATTTGCCCTTCAATATGCTTAGCTTTAAACCAGTTTAAAATAATTTAAAAGTTGGTTTTTTAATACAAGACCATATTTACATGCAATTATTATTTGTAAACATAATGCCTTTCTTGAAATGCTAAGGTCTAGAGAGTGAAAAGGATGCTTAATATTGAAAGACTACATTCAGAATAGCACAAGCAGTGAATTGACTTGGAGTTCAGGAAAATAAAGTGTGTTTTATTGAACTTCCAAATTTTCTAGTTAGCTTTTAATGAAGTGACAATTCCATGTTGATAAGGTAGATGTTATTGTGTATCCCAGCTACCCAGATCATCATTACACTGAAGTTACAAGCAATAAGCTATTTTAAACAAGTTTAAGTCAAAATGCTTTCCAATTGGGCACAAAATGCAGTTGAACTCTATTTTCATAACAGTGATGCCTTGTGACATGAATTGTGATTGATTTTTTTTTTTTCTTCCTAAAAAACCATGACCTTTATTTAGATAGCTCTGGTTCTATGTCACTGGTCAGTTTAACTGACCACCTCCGGTCAGCTGCTGCAGATGAGTTTTTGGAAGATTCAAGTTTTTAAAATAAGGAATTGTGAAAAAGGTTGCAAATTGAAATACAAAGAAAAAATTATGAAAATGTTCACATGGAACTTATAAAGACTACATAATGATCTAGACTTTATCATTTCAAAGTGTATTTTTTTCTTTTTAGAATATGCATGCCAAATGTCTTTGTCTTTTTCAATGATTTGTAATATACATTTTATGACTGGAAACTTTTTGTACAACACACTCAAATAAATGTTTTGCATTTTATTTGTTTCCTTCTTTCATTTAACCAATGCAGAAGCCACATGGGCTGTTCGACATGATTCATCCTGGGGGACCTTCCTGTGTGTGGAG